TAGGACATGTGACATCGGGACATAAATAGAATTAGATTAGAATGTCTTTATTAAATTATTTAGGAAGACCTTATATTATTTCTATGTAATTTCTGCTGATTAAGCTACTGTTTAAGTTATGGATGTGATACCCTCTATTTAAACATGTTTGGTATTTCAATTATGAAAAAAAGAGTATGTTATTCAATTTTTGTTATTTGTGTTATGGTATTTGGGGTAGAAGGTGTCTCATTTATCCTTATGAGCCCATAGTTTCATGGGCTAAGCGCTTATGGTCCAACTCTATACCTTTTTCACATTCATTTCTAGTTTGGAGGCTTTTGCAAAATAGTCTTCCTTCCAATGATCAGCTACATATTTGGGGTGTGGATTTGCAACCTATGTGGTGTATTTGATAAATCCTTGAAGCATCTTTTTCTAAGGTGTGATTTTGTTTATTCTCTATAGTCTTAGTTGCAACATGTTTTGAATTTGTCTTTGGATCTCATTACTACGGGGGATGGGGCTCTCAAGTAAAAGATGTTATACTTTCTACCTTTATTCATGTTCCATGAGTGATTTAGATAGCTAGAAACAACTTGCAATATAAAAATATTAGAATTTCCACTCTTTCTTTCTATGGTAATTTCGACAATATCCTTATCTAGACTGCTTTTAAAGGGTTAGACTTCTCATTCTATGCTTGAGTTTCATATTCTAAAATATTTTTTGGTTTCAATTCATCCCCTGGGCTTTTTCATGTGATTCTAGTGGATTGACATCCCCCTGCTTGTGGTTTCATCAAATACAACACAAATGGTGGGGCGTTAGGTTCTCTGAAGCTTACTGCTAGTGGTGGCTTGTTTAGAGACAATAGAAGACCTTTCTTAGGAGGGTTTGCTTTATAAATTGGTGTTGCTGGTGCTTTAAGGGTAGAGTTAGTTGCTGCTATGCTGGCAATTAAGCATGCATTTTCTGCAGGTTGGCACAACTTATGGTTGGAGTGTGATTCAAGGGTGGTGGTTTTGCTAGCTTTTCTTAATCCTAACTTAATATCTTGATCTATTCGTAGTAGATGGAAGCATTACTTGTTTTTGTGCTCTAAGAAGCAGTTTCACATTTCTCACATTTTTCAAAAGGATAATCAATGTGTTGATAGATTGGTGGCCTTTAATTTAACTCAAAGGAGTGGATTTGTCTAATTGGACTCTATCGTCTTTTATTTTATCAAAGTTTTTTTGTTATTGTTGTGATTTTCCTTCTTTTTATTTTTGTTAATTCTTTTCCATGAATTTTGGTCTAGTCCTCTATTTTTTTTTTGTTATTTTTACCTTTTATTTTATAAATTTAGGTGTGCTACAAATGATTATCTGACTTTGAGGTGTCAATGTTATTGGAATGTCTCTGTCCTATAATAATATTGAATGTGCTTAAATTTTTTTTAAAAAATATATTTGATACATATTTGTTTATATAATATTTCATTCAAAAATATATATAACTTCTTAAGGCCTAATGGCCGTATAGTATTGGCATCTATTTTATGTTAGGACTTAGGAATATAAAGTGAAAGCACAAAATAAATAAATAAAAGGAAAAAAGAAAAGAAAGATGTTCCTTATCATTCGTGTCTAAAGCTATGCTTTCTAGATTACAACAGGTTGATTAAAATAGAACAAAAGCACGCATTACATCCGTGTAGGG